AGGTGTTCTGGGAATCCTGCAGAAGAGAAGGAAAAAAGATTGTAGGAGCCAGAATGTAGCTGAAGTTTTACTGTGTCCTGGCCTGCCAGCAGTCAGGACAAATCTCTCCCACTCATGGCCCCCAAGTAAACACACAGAGACTTAGATTATTTATAAACTGTATGGCCATGGCAGGGTGCTTGCTATCTGTTCTTATATCTTAAATTAACCCATTTCTATAAATCTATACCTTGCCATGTGGCTCATGGCTTACCTGTAGCTAGAGTTTTCCTGCCTGGCCCACAGTCAGGACAAATCTCTCTCACTTGCCAGTCCTATAGCCGCTCAGACCCAACCAAGTAAACACAGAGACTTATATTGGTTACAAACTGTATGGCCGTGGCAAGCTTCTTGCTAACTTTTCTTACAGCTTAAATTAATCCATTTTCATTAATCCATACCTTGCCACGTGGCTCGTGTCTTACCGGCATCTTCACATGCTGTTTCTCATCGTGGCGGCTGGCAGTGTCTCTCTGACTCAGCCTTCCACTTCCCAGCTTTATTCTCCTCCTTGTCCTGCCTATACTTCCTGCCTAGCCACTGGCCAATCAGTGATTTATTTATTGACCAATCAGCAACACACTTGACATACAGACCATCCCACAGCACTTACCGGTATTGTACATCATGATTCTCCTCATGGTGGCTGTCAGCGTCTCCCTGCCTCAGCCTTCCACCTCCCAGCATTCTCCTCCTTCTTGTCCCACCTACACTATCCTTCCTGCCTGGCTACTGGCCAATCAGCATTCTATTTATCAATCAATCATAGTAACCTATGTTTACAGCATATAGGACATCCAACAGCACTTAATTCCCCTTTTCTGTTTTTTCAAAAGGGAAGATTTTAACTTTCACATAGTAAAATTACATATAACAAAACAATTATCAAGCAAGAATTACAGTTATAATATCTAGTCTATTTATAATATCTAGTCTATTTGTATTTGGCAGAATTAAAGAAGATATCCTATCTATCCTATATTTGTGAGTCTAAGATTTCATATCTAACTTATCTTTTAGCATAATTAAGGAAATTATAACTATCTAGTCTTCAACTATATCAAAGACCTCAGAAGGATATAATATTACCTGAGAAATGGGAGAAGAATGCAAGCAACTTTCAAGAGTATTGCAAGAGTAGACAGAGACAGCTGGCAGTCTGCACAGTCATCTAAAGTTCTTCTGTAAAGTTGGGGCATCTGTCATCAGCCCATTGGGCTAGAGTCTCACAGTCACTTCTCTTTGTGTCCTGTAGAATGTCTGGCAGTTTCCTCTGAGAAGCAGGAACCTGAAGGACCATTTTGCCAATCAAAGTTCAATGTTCACGTTCCTATGGGTCCTGCATGTCCAGTCGATCAAGCAGTCCAGGCAAGAACAGTTTCTTGCCCAAATGGCTATTTTTGCCAAGGTGAAGATAAACTCCATTGGAGTGTCTTCGATGCCCATCCTCCTCTCTGAAGTAAACTGGTGCTGCTAGAAGCAGACATGTCTCACTGTCCAGAAAGTCAAAATTTTTTAAATATTTTAAATGCCATATTCTGTAGGTCTTTGAAGTGTTTGAAGATTACCTACCTAACTGAATTATATCTATGTATACCTTGAAAACTTAATATGACTATAAGTTTGACTATCATAGAAGACTAATTATTAATCTGTATTTCTTAATTATCCATTACAATCTAAATGAGTTACATAAGCATAGCACCTTAAACAAGAGTAGAAACATATATATAGTAGAACAAAATCGACTCTAAGTTTGTGTCAATAAACTAAAATCTATAGCAATGTAAAACATTTTAAACAAGTTGTTCTTTAAAAGTAGGTTCAATAATTTACCCCTTCATCCTATCATATCTAAACTATCCCCTTTTCTTCTTTAGAAAGAGATTACATTTATAATCAACCTGCTTTTAAATAAAAATACTGGTTTTGCTCTGTCCCACACCAGAGGGCTCTTCTGATATGGGACAGAAAAATCTCTCAACCTTTTGTTTTAGCAATATGCTTGGGTTTAGAGAAGGAGTGAGCCAATTCCATCTCCAAAGCCAACTTGGTATATTTGGGAATTCGGGTGTATCTTCTCATACTACTTCCTGCTGGATGAGGGCACTGTATCTTATGGGGACACAAAGAATATTTTAGGGTTATGGAGTAGTCCATGAGGGTGTATCGTCTGAGCCAGTTGCCTTGAAACGGTTCTGGATGTTGGATCATCTGGGCCATGGTGTCATCGGAGACCTTTCAGGGGGCCTTGGCTGGTCAAACCTGATGTATCTTAATCTGGAACAAATCCATAGCCTCTTGCTTTCTGTGGAAACAAAAGCAGAGCCTCCTTTCCAAAGCAACCTGTCCTTAGATCCAAATTTTGAAGTCAAAGTATCTTTAAAATATACATATTGGCTTAGCTCAATAGCTTTTACAATCAAATGTCTTTCTGCTGTTAAAAATTCCAAAGACAATACAATCCAGATTCTGTGTAATATCCATCTTTACATGGCTTATTTTTTATACTACTTTTACTGTCTTTTTAAAGACTTTATTTTTAAAAACTATTTCTTTATATAACTGCATTTTTTTTCTCTTTCAAGCCTACATACATTTTTACATACATTGTAAACTGTTTAGAGGTTTATCCCATCTCAATCTGTCTTATTGTGAATCTATTGCTTTAAACTGCAGCATTCTAAGACTGAAACGGCAGCTATGGCTGCTGGCTCCACCCACCTCAGCTTTTCAACATGGTGGTGGTTTACCGGCAGCTCTGGAAACCATGCTCCCACAGACTCTGGGAAGCAGTGGGTCTATGATTCCAACCAGCAGCGTGTAGCTCAGAAACCCCTTTTTTTAAAAACTAGCAAAAACTATATCTAACACACAGCATAGTGCACAACTTGGAGACACCTCTGTGTAACATTGCGTAGGTCAAGCCCGCAAGACTTGAACCTGCCATAGAGTAGCTCAAACCCGCAGGCTGCTGCTAACTTGAGAGAGACAACTAGGAAGCTGTTTTTAGCTCCGTTTTAGAATCTCTTTTCTCAGGTTTTAGGTGGAAACTCTTGCCAACCCCTTGGGGGCCATTTGTAGCTGAAGTTTTCCTGGTCCCGCCTGGCCCATAGTCAGGACAAATCTCTCCCACTCGCATCCCCCAAGTAAACACACAGAGACTTATATTACTTATAAACTGTATGGCTGTGGCAGGCTGCTTGCTATCTGTTCTTATATCTTAAATTAACTCATTTCCATAAATCTATACCTTGCCATGTGGCTCATGGCTTACCGATATCTTACATCATGAGTCTCCTCATGGTAGCTGTCAGCGTCTCCCTGCCTCAGCCTTCCACCTCCCAGCATTCTCCTCCTCCTTGTCCCGCCTACACTATCCTTCCTGCCTGGCTACTGGCCAATCAGCATTCTATTTATCAATCAATCATAGCAACATATATTTACAGCGTACAGGACATCCCACAGCACCAGAAGGGGTCAAGGACACAAGAAAACCCAGAGAATCAACTAACTTGGGCTCATAGGGGCTGACAGAGACTGAACTGACAGAGCCTACATGGGACTGACCTAGGCCCTCTGCATGTGTGTTACAGTTGTGTAGCTTGGTCTTCTTGTGGGACTCCTAACAGTGGGAGCAGGGGCTGTCTCTAATTCATTTGCTGGCTTTTAGGACCCTTATCCTCATACTAGGGTTCCTTGTCCAGGCTTCACCTTGATATGCCATGTTTTGTTGATATCCATGGGAGGCCTGTCCTTCTCTGAAAAGAAACAGGAGGACTGGATGGGGAGGGGGAGGCACAGAGGGAAAGTGTAGGAGGGGACAAGGAGGAGAGGAAGGAGGGGAAACAGTGGTTGGGTTGTAAAAAATAGATAGGTGGATGGATGGATAGATAGATAGATAGACAGACAGACAATCAGACAGATAGACAAATAGGCAGATAAATAAATAAATACAGCCCAGAGAAAATGAAGCAATTTTATATGTGTTAGAGAAAGCTGAGCATATAGGAGAAAAATGGATAGGAGAACTTTGACTATATAGATTTGTACTTTTCAAACTTTTTGTCTATATTACTAAAACATTAAATTTAAAATTAAACTATTAGTTAGGCATGGTAGCATACACCATTAATCCCAGTACTCATGGGGAAGAGGAAGGTGAATCTTTGTGAGTTACAGGCCAGCCTGATCTATATAGCAAGTTCCAGGGCAGCAAAGGCTGTATAGTAAGACCCTTTCTAAAAAAAATTAAACTAATACTCTCTAAGTAATAAGATACTGTCACTGCAACTATAAAATAGTAATAGTGGGGTGTTTGTGGGGATGTTCTAAAAATTTTAAGTTATTTGAACAAAAATTATAATAGTATTAATGATGTACAACAGAAGATTTAGAAGAAAAAGTGTTTTTTTAATTAATTTGAAGGAAAATAAGAGATAGAAAGGTGCAAGATAGGGTAGCACATATCTATAATCCCAGAAGGCTAAAAGGGTTACAAGTCTAAGGCCAGTCGAGGTAACTTAGCAAGACCCTATCTTAAAATTTTAAAAAAATTAAAATAATAGGGTAGGAGCTGGAGAGATGCCTCAGTAGTTAAGAGCATCTAGCTGCTTCCCAGAGGAACTGGGTTTGATTTCCAGCATCCATATGACAGCTAACAAACAGTAACTCCAGTCCCAGGAGATCTGATGACCTTTTATGTTCTCTGTGGGCACTGTGTTCATGTTGTACACAGGCATACATCCAGGCCCAACATCCACACACTTAAAATAATAAAGTGTTCTTTAAAAGGTTTCGTTATAGCTTCATGTAGACCCTACTAGAATGTAGCTTCAAATGGTTGTGAAAATTGTATCAGGGATGGGGGACATGCACATAAAATTATGTTTTTCTTTAAGCCTCAGAAGCTCAGGATAAACAAAATCCTACCGCCTCGATCTCTTTTCTTTTCCCCTCACCTCATAGGCCTTGCCATGTCTCGCTGGCTGAGGAGGGTCTTGGATGGCCACCATGTTAATGCTATCCCTGGGCTCTCTTGTTGGTAACTCTGCTCTGTTCAGGTTCTCCAATTCTGTTGAAGTCTGTAGACTTAACAGGATCTTCTAGGGTCAGAAGGAAGATCCCACAGTCTTTGCTATGGGATTTCTCATTGGGACTCCACAGATACTCAAAGATACCTGAAAAGACAGTGTACAAATTATCAGAATCACACAACATCTGCTACTAAACATATGATAGTGCCAAAGTACAGTTCAATCCACTGGATACTTTACAGTATCTACTGGACACCCACAGTAGACAAAGTCCCAGAAATATTGATTGAAAGTAGAATAGGAGGAAATATGCGAGATTTCTAATAAGATTAATAAAAATTTAAATTTTAGCTTTACAATATTTAGGCATGATATTATAAAAATGTTTCTTGAGTTTTACTTTTAAATGAATAAAAACTATCTCAAGTAGCTGTGAAAATTAAAATGAAATGATGTTTATGAAGCACTTATCATAAGACTGGCACAATGAAAATAGAGCACATATCAGCAGGTACTCTTATACAGGTTGAGCATTCTGAATCTCAAAGTCTCAAATTTAATAAAACCCAAAACATTTTAAACATTGACATGATATGGAGATGTAAAATTCCACATTTAACTGTGAAGGATCACAGTCAAAACAAGGTTGCAAAAAATATTACATAAATTACCTTCAAGTTAAGCTGTAAGGTGGAGATGAAACATAAGAAGTTCAATTATAGATTTGGATCTCAGCCTCATTATACCTCTTCATGTTAAATGGAAGTGGTCCAAAATCTGAAAAAGAAACACAAAACACAAAACATTTCTGACCCCAAGCTTTCCAGATAAAGACTAATTACCCTGTATAAGGACCCATTAATATGCAAAGGCAGGTAGATATGTCTTATAATTTGCACAAAACCTTTCATCTACATATTAATAATTCTTGTTTCTGTACTTTCTATGTGCAGAAACAGAAGGTTAGTGATTACAAGTTACACCCAGTCTACCTTACTTCAAAGTTCACATTCACAGCTGGGTGTAGTGGCACAAGCCTTTAAGCTCAGCACTCAGGAGGCAGAGGCATTCAGATCTCTGTGAGTTCGAGGCTAGCCTGACGTACATAGTGAGTTCCAGGACAGCCAGGGCTACATATACAGACAAACCCTCTCTTAAAAAATCAAAACCCAAAGAGAGAGAGAGAGAGAGAGAGAGAGAGAGAGAGAGAGAGAGAGAGAGAGAAGAAGAAGGAGGAGGAGGAGGAGGAGAAGGAGAAGGAGAAGACGAAGACGAAGACGAAGAAGAAGAAGAAAAGAAGACAAGGAGATGGAGAGAGAGGTGGCTCAGCAGTTAAAAGTACTGACTGCTCTTCCAGGAAAACCAGGTTTGGTTCTCAGCACCCACATGGTGGCTAACAACTGTTTCTAACTCCAGTTCCAGGGAATCTAAGTCCTCTTCTATCCTTTTCAGGCACTGCCTATGCCATGTGGTGTACAGAGATATATGCAGGCAAAATACCCATACACATAAAATAAAAATAAATCTCAAAAAAAAGAAAATAGACAACAGAAATGGGTGAATTTGAAAGAGACTAAGATGCAGTAGGGAGCGATGATGACATAACACGGCAATAACAAATAGGTATTTCTAAAAAGTAGAAAGAAATAGTGGATAATTTATATGCAACATGAGAAACAATGCATTGGTGAGTTCTCTGAATTTTCTTTTTCACTTCCAAATATCACCTAAAGATGCTGGAGAAATTTATACAGAATCCTCAACAGAAACATAACAACCACAACAAAAAGGCTTCAAGAAATGCCCTTTCTTTCGTAAAAGATTAAGCAAAGGTGGACTAATGGAACAGAAAATGTGAGAGATTTTGACAAGTTTAAAATATGTATTTAAGATAGAATTTGCAAAATGCTTACTCTGCTGACAGAAAATGGATTTTTTTACATGCTCAGCTATTTCTAGCAAAGCATTAATGTTTGTTTTTCTGAGACAGGAGAATTTCATTAATTAGCCCATGCTTGCCTCAAACTCTATTAGTGGAAACTAGCCTTGAATTCATCACCCTACCTCACCCTCCTTAGTACCAGGGGTGTAGGAATGCAGCATTGAAATGCATGTTTTTTTCAAGAGCCCACTGAACACTTTGCAAGATAGAAAATACCAGGGATCATAAAACATTATAAAACAAGATCATTTCATATATTTTCTCTGATTATAATGCCAAACTTGAAATCAATCCCACTGCCAAGCTAAACAACTATCTCGCCTATCCAGAGGGCCTAGTCCAGTACCATGGGGGCTCCATTTATTTTTAGTTACTGAAAATGTAATAGTACAAGTAAAGTACTCTCTAGTTATGTTAATATTGTCAGATTGTAACATTATTCATTTTTTTAATTTTTGTTTCTTTTCATTTTCCATGTAGTTTCATTGAACCACCTTGTGTATGCTAGGAATCAAACCTGGGCCCAGTTTTCCTAACCACTGGGAGACCTCTCCAGCCTATAGGAAGTCTCCTTATTGCTTATTCAGAAGCTCATCTATGAATAAGTCTGTAAGCAGGTCATCATGTATTGCAGATGAAATACTATGTTTTTATGTACTTGTTTTAATACTCAGTTGTACAGAAATTATGCACTGAAGTATAATACTATTCTTTTTTGAAAAACAAAAATCTAAAAACAATGGAAGTTTGACATGAATCAAAATGAACAAACTAGAATAATATTAAACAATACTTTTCAGTGATTATATAAAGCATAACACATTTTGTATTAATACTACATTAAATAATAGAGAGTCTTGAAGTTAAGGTAGTTTAGATCTATGTGTCTTCCATCTGTCTGTACTTTGAGTTCTGTGTTCTGTCTGTTTGCCTGTTGTGTATAAGTGTGTGTGCATGTGTGCGCATGTATGTGTGTGATGTCTATCTGTCCCTATTGTCTATACCTAACAAAAGGCTTTGCTCTATATGTATTGAATGGCTCAGAAAATATGGTATGTGAAGGGAATTTACAAAGCTCTTTGAGTTTTACAAGTCAGGAAGTTATTTTCCTGATGCCAATTGACCCAGAATAGCGCTCAGAACCACAAACAGGTATTATCAAACTTTCTATATGTTGCTTCCAACATTTGTGATAGATATTAGCTTAAAGTTGCTTTCAATCTTCTGGCTACTTTCACCAAGTGATTACCAACACACACACACACACACACACACACACACACACACACACACACACACACACATTCTGGATCAGGGATATGGAAGAATACATAGTTTAAGATTAAAGCCATACATTTAGCTTATGTTGTAAAATTCTGATTACATAGTGCCCTAGTTAGGTTTCTGTTGCTATGATAAACACCATAAGCAAAAGCAACTTGGGGAGGAAAGGGTTTATTTTAGTTTAGATCTTAATAGTCCATCTTGGAGAGAAGTCAGGGCAGGGACTCAAGGCAGGAACCTGGAGGCAGGTATCTGAACTAGAGGCCATGGAGGAGTGCTGCTTACTAGCTTGCTTCTCCTGGTTTGCTCAGTTTGCTTTCTTATAAACCTCAGGACCACCTGCCCAGAAATGGCACTGCCCACAGTGTGCTGGGCACACCCACATCAATCAAGAAAATGTTCCATAGGTTTCACTACATACCAATCTGATGGGGGCACTTCCTCAGTTGAGATTTCTTCTTTGGAGAAGACTCTAGCTACTGTCAGGTTGACAAAAACTAAACAAGACGGAAAGGAAGTTCAAGGCAAAGTGAGACTGGTTACAATGTTTTCTTAAAGGCAAGATAAACTTAAGCAGATTGAATATACACAGTAGGGAAATAGCATAGCCGGAAGTTTCTGTGTCCCACCCAGCCCCGTGGTCCAGATGAATCTCTCCCACCCACAGTCCCACAGCTACTTTAAAAATAATCACCCAGAGGCTTAATATTAATTACAAACTGTTTGGTCTATGGCTCAGGATTCTTGCTAGCTAGCTCTTTCATCTTAAATTAACCCATTTCTATTAATCTATGTTTTGCCAAGTGGCTTCGTGGCATTACCTGTGTTCCATTACATCTTGCTCCCCCAAACAGTGTTCAATGCCTCCTCTGACTCTGCCTTATTCTCTTTGTCTCTTTGCTTGGATTCCCTGCCTGGGTCTATTCTGCCTTGCCATAGGCCATAGCAGCTTCCTTATTAACCAATCATAGCAACACATATTCAGTGTACAGAAAGACCATCCCACAGCAAAACAGATTGAGTACATAGTTTTAAATGGTCTCTTTGCAACTTGGTTGCAAGATCTGGCAAAAGTTCAAGTTCTGGAGACAAGAGGGATTTTCATAAAAAGATATTACCATGACTTTCATAAAATTAAAAGCCACTGGGGGCTAGCAAGATAGTTCAGTGGGTAAAGGTACCTGCCACCAAATCTGATAACCTGAGTTCAATCACCAGGTCCCATGAACTTGGGAAAAAAGAGAACCAATTCCCACAAATAGTCCTCTGACTGTTACATGTGCACCCCAGCATCTGCATGTGCACATGTATGCGCATGTACACATACACATACATAATTTAAAATGGAAAAAAGTGAAAGCCACTTAAAGAACAAACTATTTAGAAATGCATCTACTTGCAATAAAGTTATATTTAAAAAGAAATGGTGATCTTGAGATTCAAGACAGTGATTATGTCCATTGAGGGCAAGCAGGAAAACTCACTGTGGGACTATTTGTTGTAAAGGCATGCCTTTTAAGTATGAACTGTATTATTAAAACTAAATGTTGAATTAATTTGGAAAATTAAAATGTTGGCTAACTATCTAAATGAAAACATGAGGAAGTCTTTATGGAAGAAAACAATGTCTTTCAAATGTGACTAGAAATCTTCGGCCCCAGTCCAGACATACCACTTAGTGATGAGATGAGCAGGACACAGGAGTTCTGCAGCCTTGACATTGCTACACCTGCCAAAGATGCTGTGGTTCTAAGGTACAATTTGTGTTGTCACTCAGGCTGCTGGTCAAATGTCCTTCTTCAGAGGTGTTTCTTACCTGTCCTACTCTCAAGCTTTTCCTCATATGCCCATCTTCTTCTTGGCCTTCCTACTGATTAGCAACTTATGCATTTACTGTTTTCTCATTGTTTAGCTGACACTGCAGCCATTTCTAATTCTCAGTGACTTTATTTCTCCTCTATTTGATATACCATGCAGAGGAGGGGAAAATGCACATGGTAATCAATTTCTCTTTTTCCCCACTGTGGAAATGAGTATGGAACTCCAGGCATTGCACATGTGTGCAAGCACTTTACCACTGAGCTACATGTCCAACCAAAGCCACTTAATTCCCTTTCACTTTTCCTTTTATCTATTTTGTTTGGTTTGTTAATTTTCTTGAAATTTTCATTTCCCTCCCCAAAGCATCTAGAGGCACCTCTGTATGAAACACTGACATAAAATTAATTTGAATACATAATGCAAGAAATACTAAAACATTTTAACTTTAGTTATTTTTACATTCTTCCATTCTTTATGTAGATCTGAGTTTCAAAAATATATTAGGTTCCTTATATTTGAGGAACTTCTTACCATTTGTTGCAATAAATTCCTTTGGTGGTTTTTTGTTTGACTTTTGTGGTGCTAACGGATGGAACCCAGGGCCATGTGCATGCTAGACAAGTGCTTTGCCACTGAGCTCCATCCCCAGAACCCATCAGTGCATTTTTATCTCAGTCTATTTATACTTCTTGTCTTAGTTAGGATTTCTATTGCTGTGAAGAGACACCAT